AAAAATACAAAATCGAACAAGAAGTGGATTAAATGGCTTAAAGTAGTTAAAGTGCGCTCTTCAAAGCTTCAAATGTATAACATGTCGAACATGTATACAGTTTACTTTTCTTACCGGAAACACAGTATTGTTTATTGGAAGAAAATTGATTCTTCTATGAAGGCAAAGTGGTTGCGGCGACATTGCTGTTTGTAGAGTGTGGAGTTTTCACATCTTTTCCTTGAACTATTTTGCGACCGTTTCTGATGAAACTAATGTTGTGAAGTGAAGTTATTAAGCGAAGTTGAGTAGTTCTTTCGCACTGAAATGCAACACTTTTAGAAGAATGACGCCGATTGCGAATCACTTTTTGCAGATTTGTTTGATAGAATCCCGCGACCAATAGAAATAATCTATTGGTATTGCAACCTTTTCGACATTTCCTGGTATCCCAACTTGACAGTTTTTCAGTTTCATATTTTTTATCATCAATTTCTTATTTAGTGCTTTTAGCAGTTTTTCATTAATGTTTCACATTGTTTGATGTTAATTCTGCTTGCTGTAGAAAAACAGACCGAGCGTGAAAACTTCTTCTTCAAGTAAAAAAATTATAAATACGAGCAATCGCCAATTTAAGTGTACCTGCGGAGCACACTTTACTGATAAATTCCACTTTGTGTTCCATGAGAAAGACAAGTTCATGGTGCAAGAACAGAGACCAAAAGAAAACCCAATAAACAATGTGTTTTGTGCAGTTTTAAATCACATTATGAACCAGAAGTAATTAAACTATAAGAGAAGACCAGAAGTAAAGACTATGACTTTGAACCTGTAGGTCAGTTTCACAGCTGGAAAACCCAGATCCAGTTAAAAACATTGTCTAGATTTGTTCAATTTGAAGGTTCCAGGAAAAGTAAGTGTCAGAAATCTGCCTCAGACTGGGACTAAGAATCTAGCAGTTGATGATACTGAACACACTAACGCTCTTATACCACAGTTGAGCAAGAAAAAATCTGATTTTCTGGCAACTTTTCGATCCATTGTTCTTCCGAACCAACATTTGACAAGTGTAAAAGACTCTAAAATACCGAAATAACTCTTTTATTGATACCAAAAAGAAGCGCAAATACTAAAAAATATAATCCCGCAAACACATTTAGCTCAACCAAAAGGAAAAGAATCAAGCCCTTGTCTAGTATTATTTCCGACTTTCTTCACCTTGAACATGCTGTATATCTGTATATCTAAACATAGGCACAGCTGAAGTAATGAATAAAGATTGTGTGAACCAAATGTGCATTGTGCAAACGTTGCATTCATTGTTCCATTCAGGAGGCTGAAAACTAAAATGTAAATTCCGTACGTTTCGTACTTGCTGCATTGATCGAACGTTGCAAATATTACACTATTTATCAACATCAGCATGCGAGAATAAATGATAATTAATTCGAAATTAATGTTAAATAACGAGTCGTTCATTGAATAATGAAGTTCGGTGCGTAAGTGTTGGATTTCTTCAGGATATTAATGGCTGGCTGGAACCGCAGCAGATTTCGAACAGTAGCTGTTCTAACACGTGATTAGTTTTTTCGGTTTGAGACCCCATGTTGAGATATCGTGACAATAAATAAGCAATCTGGACCTATTCATCAATATGCAGGTTGGAGTCTCGGTTTAATTGATTCTCAGCCAGCCAAAGAACCCATTAAGGACCCAGTTTATGAACTCTGGTTATTTTTATATTTGCCGTCTTTTGTACCAAAAAATGTTGTCAACACTCCCCATTTCTGCCCAACCCAACTGATTACCAGCGAGTGACAAAACAATTAATACGCCGATACTAAAAGAAAAGCTCTTCGCAAAAGCCCACCATATAACTCAAAGGGTCAACTTCTACCTGGCCGACGTGGTCGCCGTACCTGATTGGAAAAAAAATAGACCAAGAAAAGAATTTGTTGTTCTTCTGGTGTTACACTCATTGTGTGCTTGAGCCAACCATCTGTTAGTCTGGGATGTTTTATGGTTAAGGCCGTCTAGAGGTTGCTGTATTCCACTGAAACGACCAATGGACCAAGTCATAAGGCTCGGGTACTTAGTTTTACGATCCAATATACAATGGCTTTCACTCACAACGGAAATCATCAGGAAATATGAAAAGTGAGAAGAGCAGTCGATGTGCAATTAGCACCTATTTGTTTGGAATGTTTGACTTATGGTTATCTGCAAGATTTCGTCAACTGGGATTTTTTCTCTCCTCCCTCATCAAAATTAGTACTGATGTGTTAAGGGCGAGAAGAGCAGAACCTTTACTGGTCCAAAAGCATCCAAATCAACCCACTTTCAAAGGAAAAATCTTGAAAAATCCGCAGGATTCGGATTAATGGAATTACATAAGCCCAAATAACACAGCAGGATCATCGTATATTACATATGAAGGAAAAAGCGTTTATTTTCTCATCTCAATCTGATCAACAGAATGACCTGCAAAGGCATTTACACGCACACTCACGTAGTCGTTGCGGTCGAGTTAATAAAAATCTAGGCAGCTGCTCCAAGCCAAAAGAATTTAGTCCAGTGCAAGACGCTTCCTACAATACACGCTATTCACTCGGTCGGAATCGATATTAATTTCATCATTTGTTCTATCTAGATGTCTATAAAATGAACTTTAAGACGGTCTGATGGGGCCAAATCAGGTGATGCTGGAGGCACAAAGGAAGCTGAAATGTCTACAACAACATAAAATATTGTTGAATTATTTAATTGGGAGGAGCAAATGTTAAAAGAGCTTGTGGAAAGGAGAAAAATCGCCAAATTTCCATTAGAGGAAGAAATGTAGAAACGACGATAAATTGGAATTAACGGCTGATCCTTAATCTTATCGATTGTTTGCGTTGTATGACTTCAAACCTGTTAGCAAAAACTGGATAAAACTAGCGATAAGAAAAGAATCTGAAGAAGAAGATGAATTATTAAGCATCCGGTATGGCCAAAACTGGAAAGAACATGAAAGCATGGCAAAAACTTTTCCAGAGGAAGATCAAGAGGGTGATAAAGATGTATGTAACCGCTTAGAAGGTGACCAGGCCTTTCATACTATTATTTTCATATACTTAGAAGGTGACCAGGCCTGGGTAACTCAGTGAAGTTTTTGGAGTTAGTACAGTGCTGCGCAAATGGCTTGGAGCGCCAACCCAACGCTCCGGCGCAGTAACTCAGTTTCGTTGCTGGGAAAATGTTGATGACTCTTTTTTACTTCTTTAAGATTTATTTTAAGGGCCATTTATTAATAATATTATTGAAATTTCTTCAGAATTTTCCAGTTTTAGCCAAGTTACTCTTTCTTCTAAATGCTCAATTTTCAATGCTTCGTTTTTCAAGTTTCAGTTAAAAATGGTGACAATCTTAAGGAATTTTCGGCGCAAAATTATGAAATACATTTAGAATCCTTCGTCGCTTCATAAAAAGTTTTGAAATCCCTTTCCAGCTTCGTATTTGAAACAAACAAAATTATTTGGAAATCTCATCACCTCCATTCCTCTGAAGACTGTAGAATTTGTTAAAACATGTGTTTTTTTTTGTTTTGACTTTTTTTTTTCGCTTTACTTTCTACTCACAAACACACTATTTTGTAGAGTTTCACTTAAAAATACTGACGGACTGGAGGACTTTTACGCGAAAAATGACAAGATAAATTTATAGCTTTGTAAAAATTTGACAAAAACTTTTTTCTGTGTCGAATTCGGGACAAAGACGAAAATAAATTCCTACCGTTTTTTACCGAAAATCATTAGGGTTTTCTCCAAAACCAACCACAAAACTAAAAGTTTTTAATCGAAAACGCAAAAAAGCATTATTTTCCGATGATTCTCTTCTTTTATGACAATAATGGAGTCTTTTCAGCCAAAAATGACAAAACTAATGATAAAAAAATTGTTTCATTCATCGGTTTGCAGGGAACTTTAGAAAACTCATTTCAGTTTCGAATTTGGCACAAAAACAAATTATTTTATTCAGTTTTTTACCGAAAGTAATTAGGACTCTAAAAAAAATGACAAGGGAGCAAGTTTACAAAACATTAATGGGAAATTTCAAATCTATTCCTGGGTTTCAGTCATTTATTGTCTCTATTTATTAATCAAAATACGTTTCGGTGTATTTTTCCACTATCATCAGTTTTCCTAAAATAACAGATAGTTAAAAAAAATTCATTAATTTAAAAAAACAACTACAGTTCGTCAACAATCTCATCATATCAC